AATCCCTGCTCGGCATGAGCTTCCTGAAAGAGCTCTATTCATACGAGTTTCGCGGCGATCGGATGCTCATCCAGCAATAGTGTCCCAGATCATTTTGGTGGCGACAATGGCGAGCAGGATCGCAAATAATCGTTTCAAAAGCTGGGCGTCCAGACTGTGCGCGAGCCGCGCACCGATCGGGGCCATGATCACGGTAAACGTCGATATCAGACCGAACGCGACGAGATTAACATAGCCGAGCGAAAACGGCGGCAATCCTTCCCGGCCCCAACCCACAATAATTGCTGTCACTGCACTTGGCAGACCGATCGCAATGCCAAACCCGGCCGCCNCCATCACTGAACGCGCCGAAGTCAGAATAATCGTCGCCAGCGACGTTGCGATCGCGACATGACTCGCCGTCTCAGAAAATCCCAGACTTTCGAACAGGATCATCAGCACCGGAACGATCACGGCCCCGCCGCCGATCCCGAAGAGACCAGCGACGAGGCCGCTAAACAATCCACATCCCGCCAAAGCGAGAATGAGCAATCCATATTGTGATAGAAATTCCGTCATGGCGCGTGGCCTAAGCCAAACTTGCCGATCGGGAAAGGTTTAGCCGAATTGCGCGATCACANCGCTCATTGCGAAGCTCTGTCGTAACGATTGCATCTCGGGCATTGCGAGCAGCGGTGTTGACCACGCTCACTTCGACACCTGAAAACTGATCTGCATTGGCCTCGATCTGACGCCTCAGAAAGCGCTCAAACGCCGATGTGAACTTGGCTTTGTCGGCTGCAGGCAATGCGCGCCCGTGACGTCCAAGCGTAAAGGTCGCAATCGCACCTGTATCAATATGGGAGATGACGGCGTCAGCAACGCGCGTNCGAGCTGACCAGCGCTTCTGCGCTGTCAACATTGTTCTGACCAGCCATAGCCATTGGGGCTGAGGCGGCGACGGCAATTGAAATAAGCAATGTCTTCAACATGGGAGGTTCCTTGCATCATTCACGCCACTTTCGGGCGCTTCAGCAGGAAGATAGGAGATGAATTGTGCACGGATTAGGGCAAGAATTGGCATAGGGGGTATGCGCGTCCGGCATGGTGGCTTTTCGGTCACAGGGGAGAGTGGCAGCTTGCGCTCGACGTTTAGGCGTTGCCGAAATCGAGAGCTTCAGAACAATATTTTGATATTCCTAGGTTTTTTTATCGCTGCCACGATTCTGCGATTGTTTTACGGCATCCGCCAGGCTGAATTTTCCGCTGCNGCCGCGAAAGCGGTCTGCGAACCTGCCCGTCGCGCGGCGCGAATGCGGCTTGCTCTCCCATCCCCTTCAGGTCCTGCAGTAATTTCATTGGGTGTTCATAGCGCACGGTGACCCGTTCAATATCCGCAACAGGCAACGCAAAGCGCGCGCGCTGCAATAGGCCAGCCATGTCCTGCAAACTTGGTAATGGTGATAAGCGCGGGCTGATCCCGCCCAATATCTCACTTTCGGCTTCGATCAGTGCGGTCCGCAATTCGTTCAAAGTCTCGCCACCAAACAGACAGGCCAGGAACAGACCATCCGGCTTCAACACAGTTCGAACCTGATTGAGCAGGCCCGGAAGATCATTGATCCAATGTAGGGAAAGAACACTCGCCACCAAATCAAATGTCTCTGGCTCAAATGGCAGGGTCTCGTTCTCCGAAACGGCTGCCTCAAATTGGTTTGCACGCAAACGCGCGACCATAAGCGGCGATGGCTCCAGAGCGGTCACGTGGTCTACATTACCGCNCGCGGGGAATCTTTGAGTCTTTCCAATAATTGAGTCGACTCCCTGCCCTTAAGGAAGGCATAGTCTCGATAATCAACAGACGCACGATCCCGGTTCCGGGCAACACGCGCGCGATCAAACAAATTGGGAGGTGAGTTAGACGCCATGAGTTCCGATATGCATTGGACGACACGTTCCGCAAGGGCGGGACTACGGTCATTGGCGAATTTCGTCTGGCCGCATCGTTCAATCGTCTCGGGAGAGCGCCATGGCGGCGACGGCCCGCTGACCCCAGAAGACTT